TCCTCAAATCTCAGCTAGGATTACAGGTCTGAACCATTGGCACCCAGCCCTCACTTTTGATATAACATTGTTCCTTTGTCTTTTTTTTTTTTTCCTCTGATACTGGGCCTTAAACTCAGTGGCCTCACATTTGTTCAGCTTGCTTGTTCACTGTTGCTACTCTACCAGTTGAGACACATCTCCAGCTTAGTTTTTGCTGGTTAATTGGAAATGGAATCTCAAAGACTTGTTGCTTAGGTGAATTTGAATTATAATCCTCTACATATCAGCTTCCTGAGTATCTTAGAGTCTTTCTGGGGGTTTTTGTGGGGTTTTTGGTGGGGGAGGGTTTCCCCCAATTTTTCTTCCACCTTAAAAGTGAGAGTCCAAGAGACCTCTTTGCTTCTTTGAGACCTTTGGCTATATAGCCTAGGCTGACCTTGAGCTTCACCATCCTTCTGCCTCATCTTCCTGAATTACTGGGATTATAGGTATGTACCATCATATCTGGCTTGATTTTCTGTCTTTTAAGGTCACCTATTCAAACTATTTGTGTTTACCTATTGTATTTGCAGTTTCTCACTACAAATACAATCGGATTCAAATGCAGGTCTTATTTTTATCCTTTTGAAGCTCTAAGAATGTTCAGTGTCTATCCTGCTTTATTTTGTATAACGTTGAAAACATTTCATTTGGGCACATTAGGTTCCATTCTTTTGGTAGACTATGTCAAGTCCTTTTAAAACACATTTGAAGTGTTTTCAGCCCTTTACTATAGCAGGTGAACAACCATGTGTTAATGTCCTGCTACATATATGCAAGACTATAACGGATTCCCAAATTTGGTCAAAAGGACTGTTATCTAATTGTAGTTTTCACATCTGCCATCTAATTGCCTACCTCTGGGTTTATACCAGTCTATATTCCCTTTATATTTTCTCTTATTTATTTATCTATGTATTTATTTATTCATTGCCAATCCTGGGGCTTGAACTCAGGGCTTGGGCTCTGTCTCTGAGCCTCTCTGTGCTCAAGGCTAGTATTCTATCACTTGAGCCACAGCACCACTTCCAGCTTTTTTTGTTATTTGGTATTGAGGAATAGAACCTAGGGCTTCATGCATGCTAGGCAAGCACTCTACAACTAAGCCACATTCCCAGCCTCTCCCTTTATATTTAAAAGATCTGATAGGTGAACAATATCTCTGCATTTTAAATATTGCTTCTTTCTGATTTTATTTTCATTTTTGGTTTTTGAGATAGGGTCTCATGTTGGCTCAAACTCAGAAACTTAGAGCCATTTGTGGCTCCTGCCGTAATTCTAGCTACTCAGGAGGCTAAGATCTGAGGACCACAGTTCAAAGCTAGCTTAGACAAGAAAGTCCACGAGCCTCTTACCTTTAGATAACCACCAAAGGAGGACGCTACAATGCTTGATAAGAAATGTACTTATTATCTTGCTCTTGTAATTGTAACCCCTCTGTACAGTATTTTCATAATAAAAAAATAGATAACCACCAAAAGCCCAAAGTGGAGGTATGGCTCAAGTGATAGAGTACTTGCCTTGAGCAAAAAAGCTCAGGGACAGCACTCAGACCCTTGGTTCAAGTCCTAGGTCTGGTAAAACCCTACATCACTTCCCAAGTGCTGGGATTATAGGCTTGTGCCCCTGCATTCATCTGTGTTTCTCTTTTTTAAAATGTGAGAGTGAGATTGTAGCATGGATATGTAGTACTGGCTATTTGGGATCCTAAGTCAGGAGTTTCTTTTAAAACCAGCCTGGGCAATATAGTGAGACCTTGTTCAAAAAAAAAAAAAAAAAAAAGGAGAGGGGCTGGGAAGGTGGCTCAGTGGTAGAGCACTTGCCTTGCATGCATGAGGCCCTGGGTTCGGTTCCTCAGCACACAAGCAAAAAGAAAAAAGCCGGAAGTGGCATTGTGGCTTGGTAGAGCGCTAGCCTTGAGCTGAAGAGCTGAGGGACAGTGCCCAGGCCCAGAGGTCAGGCCCCACGACTGGGCCCCCCAAAAAAATAAATTAAAAAAAAGAAAAAGGAGAGCCAGGTGCTGGTGGCTCAGTCCTGTAATCCTAGCTACTAAGGAGGCTGAGATCTGAGGATCACCGTTCAAAGCCAGCCCAATCTGTAAAGCCCATGAGACTCTTATCTCCAATAAACCACTCAGAAAACTGGAAGTGACATTGTGGCTCAAGTGTTAGAGTGCTAGCCTTGAGCTGAAGAGCTGAGGGACACCCAGGCCTAGAGTTCAGGCCCCACAACCTACCAAAAAAAAAGAAAAAAAAAAGGAGAATATATTTCCTTCCCTTTATCTATTTTGCATGTATGTTTTGCCAAGGAGGAGGTTTTCTTGTTTGTTCATGTAATCAAGTTTATCAATGTTATCTTTCGTAGCTTTTGAATTTAGGAAGCTTTTTTTGTTTTCTTTCCTGAGGCTGAAACTCAGGCACTATAACATTGAAGTATCTTCCATACCCAAACGCTTTAGATAGTTAGAAAAAGTTCTCCCCTACTTCAGGGTTATCAAAGACTCCATCTTTGTTTCATGTACATTTTTAGTCACCTTAAGGCTTTAAATCTTTTAGTAGATTTTTCCTGGTGGGCAGTGTATTTTTTCCAAATGACTATATAATCTTCCTAAAACTTTTTTTTCCCTTGAAACAGTCAAACTCTTGAGCTCAAGTGATCGTCTACCTTAGCCTCTCCAGTAGTGGGAAATGCAAGCATATGCAAGTATACTTGGCTCCCAACACCATTTATTGAGTAGTTAATTTTTACTTCTAATTTGAGAAGACAGCTTATTGTGTTGTTAAGTCTTTTTGTCACTGTTGTACTTTCTTTAGCTTGCTCAGTTAATTTGGCTCACTGGTTTGGTATCCCTTTTAATTATCAGTTAATCATAATTTTTTGTTTTTGTCAGTCGTGGGGCTTAAACTCTGGGCCTGGGCGCTGTCCCTCAGCTCTTTAGCTTAAGGCTGATAGTACACTGTAACTTGAGCCACAGCGCCACTTCCGGTTTTCTGATGGTTTATTGGAGATAAGAGTCTCATGGACTTTCCTGCCCAGGCTGGCTTTGAACTGTGATCCTCAGATCTCGGTCTCCTGAGTAGCTAGGATTATAGGCATAACCATTTCAGAATGTTTTTCCATCTGATAAGAAATGATGTAAAATTAGGGGGAAAGGGTTGGGAATGTGGCTCAGTCGTAGAGTGCTTGCATAGCATGCATGAAGCCCTGGGTTCTATTCCTCAGTACCATATTAACAGAAAAACCCAGAAGTGGCACTGCAGATCAAGTGGTAGAGTGCTAGCCTTGAGCAAAAGAATCTCAGGGTGGAACTAGAACAAATCATGTTTAGCGAAATAAGCCAAGATCAGAGAGACAAATGGCACATGCTCACCTGATATGTGGATGTTAAATTCAAAACACAGCAAGATGGGCTGGGAAGGTGGCTCAGTGGTAGAGTGCTTGCCTAGCATGCAAGAGGCCCTGGCTCAATTCCTCAGCACCACATAAGCAAAAAGGCTAGGAGTGGTGCTGTGGCTTAAGTAGTAGTGCACTAGACTTGAGCTGAAGAGCTGAGGGACAGTGCCCAGGCCCACAGTTCAGGTATCACAACCGGGGGGGGGGGGGGGGGATGCAGTAATATATGACAAAGAAAACAGGACTCAAGAAATGACCTCTTCTTAATTTGTCATATTGTTTTTAGATGACTCTATGTTCTTGGCATATGGATATACATGTACATATCTGAGGGAAGCTAGGAGGAAGGCACAGAGTCAGAAGGAAACAGGTGATAAAATACAGCAGAGGGTCCATCAGCTACACTGGACATTGATGAAAGTAAACTAAGTAAACTCAAGGGCAGCGATGGGAGGGAGGGAATGAGAGAGAAAGAAGGAACAGCTTACATTAAGCAAAAGAAAAGAAATGTACGTATCACCCAATTTGGAAGAAATAGTTGTATTGTCAAGGTTTGTAAAGTTCACAAGCTTTATAGATCATGATAATGACAATTCATTTTGTGAAGGTTAAAATATGTTTGTGACTTTAAATAAATATCACTATCCCACAATATTGTGAAATTTATATAATCACTTAATCTTAATAAACAAATTAAAAAAAAAAAGAAGGTCAGGGACAGTGCCCAGGACTGGCAAAAAAGAAAAATTAAGGAGAATGTCAGTCCTTCTAGGGTTCAGTTAGTTGCTCATAATGGTGGTTGGCCGTAATCTTCTGTTTGGGAACTTGTCAAAACTCATAATGTGAGAATTTTATTGTATATCTTCAGATTTTTCTAGAGCGACATATACAATGTTTACTCAAGGTCATTTTGTAGTGTAGGGGAGTGTGTAGCACAGTGGTAGAGGACTGGCATAGTGTGTATGAAGCCCTGGATTACATCCTTGGTTCTGGGAGGGGAAGGGAATCATATTGGAGTTGTTTGCAGTACTAGGGATGGAAATCATGTCTTTTTTTGGGGGGGGCATTTTTGGGGCCTGAACTCTGGGCCTGGGCGCTGTCCCTCAGCTCTTCAGCTCAAGGCTTGCGCTCTACCACTTGAGCCACAGCGCCACTTCCGGCTTTTTGCTTATGTGGTGCTGAGGAATCGAACCCAGGGCCTCAGGCATGCAAGGCAAGCACTCTACCACTGAGCCACCTTCCCAGCCCGGAAATCATGTCTTTAGGCAAGCACTGAACCACTTAAGCCATGCCCCCCAATTCTGTTATAGCATGTTGATTAGCTGTATCTTGACTAATAATTTATTCAGTTTGTAGTACACATTGATATTTTGAAAAAGACTTTTGGCAATTTCAGGAGAGAGATTCAATGAGTCAGTTATTTAATGGTAGAATTGAAAAGCAAGCAATGCATTAGCTGTGGACTTCACAGGCCCATGAAAAATAGAATTTATATTACAGTTATCTAGCACAAGATAGTAAATGACCTTGGCTGCCTGCATTGTGTACAACTTATGAATCACAAAATATCTTTTTTGTCTTTTCAGTCGGCCTACTTTGTCTATCCAGCATCCACCATCTGCAGCAATTAGTATTCAGCGTCCTGCCCAGGCACGAGATGTGACCACACGAATCACTCTCCCCTCTCACCCTGCATTAGGGACACCAAAACAGCAGCTTCATACTATGGCTCAGGTAAAGCAAGAGGTGAAGAACAACTTGTGTGTGTGATAGAGTAATGCAGAATTGCATACAGCTTACTGAAGCCTTGTCCATGTTCATTGATGGTCACTTTTAGACTGGGTAGAGTAGGTCAGGTTCTGGTTGTAACTCTGCACAAGGTTCCCTTCGCAGAAAACCAATTCCAGTACTGGCACCCAAGTGGCTGCAGCAACCATGCACAGTTCACTGAGGCAATGGCCGTATGCATTGATGATGGAGCAGGCCGGGTTCTGGTGGTAACTGATGGGGTTCCCTTCACAGAAAACCATCTTCAGCACGGGCACCCCAGTGGCTGCGGCAACCGTGGCGCCTATTTTGGCAACCAACACCCTTCCTTCAGCAACCACAGCTGGTAAGTCAGTGGCCCTGCTCTTCCTACCAGGAGAAAAGGAAGTGTAAGTGGTGAGCTAATTTCTCATCCTACCTTCAGAGAAAACAAGCTAGACAAATTTTTTTTTAAAGAGCTTTTATAAGGATCTTTATAATGTGAAATGTATGTAAAGACCATTGCTAAGGAATTTCCTTTCTTCTTCTTTTCAGGATCTGTGTCACACACACAAGCTCCCACCAGCACAATTGTTACCATGACGATGCCCTCCCATTCGTCCCACGCTACTGCTGTGACCACCTCAAACATACCAGTTGGTAAGTGTTGTGTGCCTTCATACAGAAATCTATGAGGAAATTTTCAGCCTGGGTGATCAGGCCTTCACAACAAAGCCTTTGGTTTTTAATGTTTTCATACAGATTTGATATTGATGGTAGGGGAAAAAGAGGGTAATGGTTTTCTTCTGAGTACTCAGTAATTGAATGTTTACTGAGTTTTTTTACTTCCCTACTCGTTAACATACCCCTTCTATGTGAACTTATTTAGGAATAAAATACATTTACTAACAGAAAAAAAGATAAAGGAAAAATAAGAACTTGCATACTTTGTTTTAGGAAAATAGATGATGGAGGAAAATCTCTAGGTGGACTAGTAGGAAAAGCACTAAGTGGGAGTTGGACACCTTCTATTCCCATTTGAGTGCTATCCCAAGGGCTCATGACCACTCATTTGTTTTGAGTTCTGTTTAGCTCTCCCTCCACCCAGTCCCCAGCAGAGCTAAGTACTGAACTGAGGGCCTTGAATTTACCAAATCCCCAACTACCTATTTATTCCCTTTTTAAAGTAGTGGATACTTTGAATATATGAAATAAAATCTCTTGCTGGGCATGGTGGCACACCTCTGTTATCCCAGCACTTAGAAGACATAGGCAGGAGGATCTTGAATTTGAGGGCAGCCTGGACTACATAGTGAAACCTTATCTCAAAAACAAAACATTTCTTTATAAGTTTGTGACAGCCAAACCAAGAACAAAGAACGACTTATTTTTCTGAAAGGCCAGATAATGAGTTAGGCTTTGAAAACTACAAAGCTCTGTGTCACAACTCCTTGATTCTGCTTTTATATCATGTTTATAAGCATCTGTATGAGCAAAGGATGTGATTGCCATCCAGAAGACATTACTTGTGAACATAGTAATTTGAGTTTTATATCATTTTCATCTATCAGGAAATACTGTTTGGATTTTTTTCTCCCAACCATTTAAAAATGGAAATAAGCCCAATATTAGCTCACAAGCCATTCAGAAAATGACAGCAAGATGGACTTGGCCTATTAATGATTTCTCATTGCCACCATTTCAAAGCAGAGGCTGGGGCCTAGAAGGCAGAGAACACTGCTCTCTAAGACATGGGATCCACAGGTCTTAGTTTTGAAAGTGTCTCCATCCTTATAATCAGCATGTCATTCTCTACTTCCAAAAATATGACATAGCTGCCCTACTTTTATTGTTTTTTATTTCTAAAAATATGATGTACTCAGAAATAAGACTGCTTTTTTTTGTGGGGGGGAGGTCCGGTCATGGGGCCTGAACTCTGAGCCTGGGTGCTGTCCCTCAGGTCTTCAGCTCAAGGCTAGCATTCTATCACTTGAGCCACAGCACCACTTCTGACTTTTTTATTTTTGCTTATGTGGTGCTGAGGAATCGAACCCAGGGCCTCATGCATGCAAGGCAAGTGCCCTACCACTGAGTCACCTTCCCAGCCCCCATAAGAATGCTTTTTCTGAAGAGGTTGTCCTGACATACTGCACTGTTTGATGTCTGGGGACCTGATATTGATGTATGTCTTCCCTACCTTCCCAGTTCTTCCTTCTGTATATGACAGGCTAGTTTCCCCTTGCAGAAAACTCTGAGGATGCGTTTCTGGGACAATGATAGGAGTTCCTACTTCTCTAGGTAGGCAGGCCATGCCAGCCCTTACGTATGTGTTCAACCCTACACTAGTCCTTTTTAAAAAAGCTGGTGGTCCTTTTCACATTACTGCTCATCGTAACTTGACAGTAAAGACTGAATTCTCACATTCAAGTTAATGCACTTTTCTTTTGTGTATTTGTATGGCTTTAGCATTAATATACTTGTAGGAAAAGACTGTGGATTGTTTCACATTCTGAAAATGATGATCAGACTATTTTCTGCCTTCAGTTGCATGTCATCCACTGTCCTCAGGGCTTTATGAACAGAGCCAAGCCCCATTCTCCTAACTTTTGTGTTCAGGAGCTTCCCTAGGGTAGTTGCAGCCTGAAGAAGCTTAAAAAACTACAAGAGAGGCGACCCACCACTCTCTAGAATGGTCTGTAAGAGGTGGATTCTTATTAATGTCCTGTGCCTGCCTAAGAAGCCACATTGGAAGTAAACTCACTAAAAGCACCAGAGAGTAAGCAAAAGTGTGCTTATTCCTAAATCCCAGCAAGTTCAGGCTGTAGTTTGTTTGTTTGTTTTAATGTAGTAATTCAAACATTTTCTTGTTACTGTTAGGATCACTCTAAAAAAGTCTATCAGTTGAGAAAGGACGCCTGATAGAATCCTAGGGCACTGATTTTTCAAGTTAGCAGTGTACAGAGTATATTAAGTAGTTCTTTCCAAGTTTTACTTGGCTTCTCCAAATAAGATTAAATCTGGAATTCAGCAGTTGTTACCAATAAGTGTGTGTGGGATCATGAAAGAAAAGCCTGAGTCCAAAGAAGAAGCTAATGTCTTTGTTATTTTTGTTGGGTTTTTTGTTTCTTTTAAATAGTTTACTTTTTTAGTCTTTCTTCTGTTTTTTCTTTCTCTCTGTCTCTCTTTCTTCTTCCCTCCCTTCTCCCTTCCCTCCTTCCCTCTTTTCTTTTATCTTTTCTTTCTTTCTCTTTCTTAAGTATTAACAAAAATAATAATATGAATATCAGTGGATTGTTACATGGAAATAATTCAGTTAAGCCTTTTGTAGTCATCTGTAATTTTCTATTTTGCTTAAAACTGAAAATCCAGCCGGGCGCCGGTGGCTCACGCCTGTAATCCTAGCTACTCAGGAGGCTGAGATCTGAGGATCACGGTTCAAAGCCAGCCCGGGCAGGTAAGTCTGTGAGACTCTTATCTCCAATTAACCACCAGAAAACCGGAAGTGTCACTGTGGCTCAAGTGGTAGAGCGCTTGCCTTGTGCTGAAGAGCTCAGGAACGGCGCCCAGGCCCAGAGCTCAAGGCCCACAACCACCACCACCAACAACAACAAAACCTGAAAATCCAGGTTTAAAACTATTTGTATTTATAAGCATACCACCAGCCTAGAATGTTTTGGCATGCCAGTGAAAGCATATGAATGGTAATAGACTTGGATATTACTGTTTTAGCTAAAGTGGTGCCTCAGCAGATCACACACACTTCTCCTCGAATCCAGCCTGACTACCCTGCCGAGAGAAATAGCCTGATTCCCATTTCAGGACATCGGGCCTCTCCAAATCCTGTAGCCATGGAAACACGAAGTGACAACAGGTAGGCAACACAATGTGCCAGTTATGCTACTCCTTTGTTTTTGTTTTTAGTTTAGTCAAGCCAAAAAATCTCGCAAACACAGTATATGTTTATCTTTTCATATTTTCTCCATGACAATAAAATTGTGTAATTTCCTTTTTAGTGTTATAAAATATGCTGTTTTTGTTAAGCCATTCTCCTTTTTTGTTGTTGTTGTTGGTCGTGGGGCTTGAACTCTGGGCCTGGGTACTGTACCTCAGCTCTTCAGCTCAAAGCGAGCACTCTTATCACTTGAGCCACAGTGCCACTTCTGGTTTTCTGGTAGTTTATTGGGGATAAGAGTCTCACAGACTTTCCTGCCTGGGCTGCCTTTGAACTAATATCCTCAGATCTCAGCCTTCTAAGTGGCTAGAATCACAGGCATGAGCCACCAGCACTCAGCAAACCATTCTCCTCCTAGTATTCATTTTTTCATCTGTACTTAATTTGTTTTTTAATGATCTTTAGAGTAAAGGTTGTAATATCTGACTTTTAACCATTTATTACCCCTGAAAAGAGTACATTCTCTTACTTAACCAATTACAGACACCAAAAATGGTTCTTTAGCCTCCTTACATTGACTTTTTTTTGTCAGACATGGGACTTGAACTCTGGGCCTGGGTGCTGTCCCTCAGCTCTTCAGCTCAAGGCGATCACTCTACCACTTGAGCCACAGTGCCACTTCTGGTTTTCTGTTGGTTAATTGGAGATGAGTCTCACGACTTTCCTGCCCAGGCTGACTTTGAACCATGTTTCTCAGATCTCAGCCTCCTGAGTAGGATTACAGGTGTGAGCCACTGGCGCCCAGTGACATTTTTAAGAATATATACAGGCAGATTGTTTAATAAAATGGTCTTCAGTTTAGTTTTGTCACATTGTTTTCTCATGGTTGGATTCTGAATGTTCATTTTTAGAGGGATTATCCTTAAGTGATAGTTTCTTACTATTACTTTGGAGAGCTCTTGCTAGTAGTTTATGTCTGTACTGGTTAATATTAAGTTAGTGAAGATGATGGTTGCACATTTTTCTATTATAAAGGCACATTTTTCTCCTTTATTGACAAATATTTCATGAAAACACTTGTAAACTACAAATATCCTGTCTCAGAATAAGCTTTCACTCAATTTTAGTATTTATTGTCATGGCTAAATTATTAGTATGATAGCTGCAAAAAAGTGAATTTCAGGGTATAGGCTTAATGGCTCATACTAGTAATCCTAATTACTCAGGAGGTAGAGATTGGTAGGATCGCAAGGTATAATGGCTCCTATTTGTCATTCCAGCTACTTGGTGTTGGGCAGAAAGAGAGAGACTCTGTAAACTAACCCAAAACAAAAAGGGCTGGAGGTGTGGCAGAGTGCTTGCCTGACAAACTACAAGGCCCAAGTTCAAAACCCAATACTGCGTTTTTTAAAAAGAGACTTTGTGTTGTTTTCTTCACCTTTATTAATTAGATGTTCTGATATGAAGATACTTATCCCTCACATTTATTGATTTTGAACATTTTTCTTTTAGGTCAGAATAGGCTTATGGATTTTTTTTTAACTCATTAATCTACCTACTTTGATGCTCAAATGGTCTCTTTTGGCCCTTTTATGGAGGGTGGGGGTCACCATCTTGCTTTCACACACCTTTCCTTATTTCCCATGATACTAAGCCCTAGGACATAGTGTTTTGCAAAGGAGTCTCTGCTTTTGCTGTAGATTTGTCGGTTTGTTTAGGTCCTTCCCACAGATAGAGGTAGGAATCAGATAACATTATCAGAGCATTTGAATGTATACTAATACCTGTAATTCAATCTCATTCTCTCCCCATTTCCTATTTGTATCTCTTCCCATGATGAGAGTCCTCTACAGTTTACATGAAGTGATTTTAGATTTGAGTAATTTTTTTAGTTTTATTTATTTATTTTGTTGGTAGTGGGGCCTGAATTCTGGGCCTGGGCACTGTCCCTCAGCTCTTTAGCTCAAGGCAGGCACTCTACCACTTGAGACACAGTGCCACTTCTGACTTGTTCTGCTTATGTGGTGCTGAGGAATCAAACCCAGGGCTTCATGCATGCAAGGCAAGCACTCTATCACTGAGCCACCTTCCCAGCCCTTTGAGTAATTTTTAATTTATTTTTCTTACTGTGCTTATTAGTATGTGCAGGAGGCTTGTGGTTTTCAAATTGATCTTGTTCCTTTTACCTATAAAAGTGCATACATTCTCACCTACAAATAATGACAGTTTTTTTGAAAATGGACAAGGTGGTCTTTCATTTTGTTTTCTTGACACCTTTTTTTTAATGTAATGATTACTAGAGTATAATGTAGTATAGTAAAATGATTTTTTTCCTGGCCTTGAATAGTAAGTTTCATTAAAGGTTTTATTAAATACCATTTTCAGTTTGAAGTTAAAAGTTTCTTTCCTGTTTTCTTCATGAATGCTATCTGGTTTTATATGTTTATGTATGACACATATATAAAGCAACATTTCAAATGCATGCTTTCTTAAGATTTGTAAATAATCTAAAACATGAATAGAAATACTGATATTGGATTATTCCTATCTTGCTGTTAAACCTATTGGTCATGATGTATTGAATTTTACATGGTACTTTATCTAGTTTTATTAGTAATTCTTGCATCTATAGCATATATAGTTTCTTGGTCTTATATTCTCTTTCAATTTGTCCCTTTTCAATTTGTCTTAAGGGAATATTTCTTAAATTTAAAAACAAGGTGGATCACATCTTTCTGCTCTGTGAATCTTGTTTGTATAAGGTTGGGATTATCAGGTTTGTGTGTGTTTGATAAAATTTGCCATTAAAAAAAATCTAAGCTTAGTGTATTTTATGTGGAATCAAGCAAAATACTGGATTACTGAGTGTTTGTGTTGCCTAGTTGGTCTCAGACACTGATCTCAAATCCTTAGTCTGCCTTAGCCTTCTGACAGCTGAGCCGTTATTTATTGTGAGCTGTTTGGGAAATCGCTATTCTCAAAACTCATCAATAAAATGTTTTGCACTTACTGACCTGGATATTTGCAGAAGCCACACAGTGTTTTGTTTTTTGCTAGTCCTAGAGCTTGAACTCAGGGCCTGGGCACTGACCTTGAGCCTTTCTGTGCTCATGGCTAGTGCTCTACCACTTGAGCCACACACCACTTCTGGCCTTTTCTGTTTATGTGGTACTGAGAAATGGAACCCAGGGCTGCATGCATGCTAGGCAAGCACTATACCATTAAGCCACATTCCCAGACCCAGAAGCCACACAGTTTTTAAAGGCTACTTGTGCTCAGTGTATGTCCTGTGATCTAAGGGTAAGATGCATTTGGGAGAAGTGGGCATAGCACTTGAGAAGGATGTCAAGAGGAATGGGGTAGGGTGATGAGAAGCTGAAGAAGAAAGTAATGATTCTGTTTCCTATGACCTGTGCTGCATTTCTAGACCGTCTGTTCCTGTTCAGTTCCAGTACTTTTTGCCAACTTACCCACCCTCTGCATACCCACTGGCCGCACACACCTACACCCCAATCACCAGTTCTGTGTCCACTATCCGACAGTACCCAGGTAGGAGCCCTGCTTTTTAGAAGACTTTTCACATTTTCATTTCCACCAACAGTGAGAAAGAAATTAATCAGTGTGTATTTCTGGTATGGGATTTAATTATTCCAGCTTGTTTCCAGACTCAGAAGGACTAAATGTGAAAATATAAGGCCTTCAATCACTACCTTTGTGATCTCTGAAAGGATTGTTACATATTAGTGATATGGAATAGTTTTATCCTACTCTGAGGAAAATTGTGTTAATAATTTTTGTGAAGCTTCAAAATAGTAATACAATTACAATGAATAAAGCTATATTATAAGGCTCTGTTGGGTTTGCAGAATATGTATTGTTTTTTGTTTTTAGTCCAAATATGTTTATCCCTCACCAACTTAATTTGTAATTGATGTTCTTTTTGGTAATATGGGAAGAACAATCAAATTTGAGTTTGTGTGGTCTTTGACTTTTGGGTCACTCTGGACCTCAGGAAGCCTTACATAGATTGTGAGCCAGGTATGGTGGCATATATGTGTAATTTCTCCACTTTTGAGAGGCAGAGGCAGAAGAATTGAAAGTTTGAAGTAAGCCTGAGCTACATGGAGAGTTCTAGAACAGGCTGAGTTTCTTAGAAGCAAAAAAAAAAAAAAAAAAAATTAAACAACCCAACTGCTGAAACTTATCCTGTGGTCCAGTATGTCAGCCAGAGCTACTAGAGGGGACTATATCTTAAGCATTAAAATTAAATAATTTTTTAGGTAATTTGACATGTTACACTACTTTCATTCATATATTTGATGAAACTGAAATACAGGTTAAGTATTTCTGATAAAAATTTACTATCCAAATTGAGATGTACTTTAAATGTAAACTGTGTCTTAGATTCTACTATTTATAAAGGAAATGTAAAATATCTTACTTGGTATCTATAGTGGTTATGTTTGAAAATGGTTATATTTTGTGTAAGAGTTATTATTTAAGTTGGGAAGGTGGCTCAGTGGGTGAGTGCTTACTAGCATGCATGAAACCCTGTGTTCTATTCCTCAGTACCACATAAACAGAAAAAGCCAGAAGTGGTGCTATGGCTCAAGTGGTAGAGCACTAGCCTTGAGCAAAAGAAGCTCAGGATCAGTGTCCAGGCCCTGAGTTCAAGCCCCAGGACTGGCAAAAAAAATTAAGTTCAGGGGTTAAAGGCCTGGCTCAGGTGGTAAAGTGCCAGCCAATGAATTAAAGCAACCATTAATTAAAGCAACTTGGATACCAGGTTCAAGTATCGGTCTCAGAGAAGAAAGAAAGGAAGGAAGGAAGAAGGAAGGAAGGACAACAGAAAGAAAGAAAAAGCAAGTTGAGCTAAGAATGTAGCTCAGGCCTGAGTGCTTGCCTAGCAAACATGAGGCCCTGAATTCAAACTCCAGTACCATGAAAAAAAATTTTTACACTGTGTTTAAATGAGAATAGCAAACCTGAGTTCACTGAAGGCTGTTTGTAGTAAGCTGTAGGGGGGATGATGGTGGAAAGTGAGAATAAACAAGGGGTCAGTCACATTTAAACGCTATATCTGAACCCCTTTGAACACTAGAATGTATACACACACAGACAAGAATGTAAAGCAGGTTCTGTCACGTGTGTAGGTACTCGTGGGAGAAGAAAAGACACAGAGATGGTTAAGGAGGGTTGAGTGTGGTCAGAATACTTTATGTACATGTGTGAAAATGAAACAGTGAATCTTGCTGAGCTGGTTGAAAAGGTTGAGGGATCTGGGAGAGTGATGTGTATTAAGTCTGATCAACGTATATTGTATACATATTTGAACATGTCAAAATGAAACTCCCTTGTATAAGGGGGTAGATGTTAATTTTAAAATGTGAGGAAAAAACCTTTTTTACTTGCCTTTTTCAAAAAAAAATTATTTACTGGTTCTGGGATTTGAACTTGGGATCTACAAGAAAGGCTTGCCTAGCAAGCGTTCTTTTTTTTTTGATCGCTCGTGGGGTTTGAACTCTGGGCCTGACTGCTGTCCCTCAGCTCTTCAGCTCAAGGCTAGCACTCTCCCACTTGAGCTACAGTGCCACTTCTGGTTTTCTGGTGGTTTATTGGAGATAAGAGTTTCATGGAGGGCTGGGAAAGTGGCTCAGTGGTAGAGCGCTTGCATTGCATGCTCAAGGCCCTGGGTTCGATTCCTCAGCACCACATAAGCAAAAAGAAAAAAGCCAGAAGTGGAGCTGTGGCTCAAGTAGTAGAGCGCTAGCCTTGAGCTGAAAGAGCTGAGGGACAGTGCCCAGGCCCAGAGTTCAGGCCCCACGACCGGACCCAAAAAAAAAAAATCCTCAAGAGTCTCATGGACTTTCCTGCCTGGGCTGACTTTGAACCTGGATCCTCAGATCTCAGCCTCCTGAGTAGCTAGGATTACAGATATGAGCCACCAGCACCTGGCTGCAAGCATTCTTTACTTGAACATGCCCCAATTCTTTTTGCTTTAGTAATGTTTTTCAAATGAGGTCTCATCTTTTTGCCCAAACCAGCTTGGACTTTGATCCTACTATCTATACCTCTGGTATAGCTGGGATTACAATTGTGAGCCACCACTCCTTGTTTATTTGTTGAGATGGGTTCTCCCTAACTTTTTTTTGTGCCCTAGCTAACTTCAAACCTCAATCCTAATATGTACTAACAAGTGTGCATTGCCATGTCCAGCTGACGTATTTCTTACTACTTTTTTTATGTGGCAACTGGAAATTTTAAATTGCATTTGACTTTATATTTCCCCTGGATGATGCTAGTCTAAAATTTTAAGCCTTGTACGGTATTTAATAGCTTTAGAAACAGATTTCTTCTCTCCACTCTGACAAGTAATAAAATTAGTATTTTTTCTTTCTTTCCTTATGCTTTTGGCACTGAGGATCAAATCTGAGGGGTGGTCTACTACTGAGCTACATCTCAGCCCCAACATACTCTAACTTCTTTTGTTGCTTTTGGGATATTTGTTGTTAGACATCACCTACAGTGGTTGGAATTAACATTGTGAGAGAAAAGGATACTTTTTTTTACTATCTCTAGTAGATATAATCCATTGAAAGTTCATAACTGCTATATTTCAGAAGTGCCTGTGATTCTGAGCCTATCAGTTTAAGTTTCTTGACCTGAATTCAAGACCCATGGATTTATCTCAAAGTTTTATGTTAATTAGTAATATTTAGCACAGTTGCATGGCTAATATTTGGTGTTTAGATTTTTTTCTTGTTTTGATATATATTTCTAGTAATTTTGAAAGACTACCAAATTGGTAGGAAGTGAAAAGTACAGTTTGAAGGAGCCATGCTTTTTCTTTTAATTTTGGTTTTCTGTTAACTTTTTTTTTTAGTTCTGAGGATCAATCATGGCTGGGCCTTGTACATATTAGATGGGCACTGTACTTCTGTTTTTTCTGGGGTTTTTTGTTTGTTTGTTTGGCGTTTTGTTTTGTTTTGGTGCCAGTCCTGGGGCTTGAACTTAAGGCTTGGGCTCTGTACCTGAGCTTTTTTGCTCAAGGCTAGTGCTCTACCACTTGAGCCAAAGCTCCACTTCTGTCTTTTTAGTGATTAATTAGAGATAAGAGTCTCATTGACTTTCATTCCCCAGGCTGGTTTCAAACCATGATCCTCAGATCTCTGCCTTCTGAATAGCTGGGATTACAGGTTTGAGCTACTGAAGCCTGGCTCTATGTTTTGTTTTGTAAACCAAGAATTTTGACCTTGTATAGTGGGAAAAAATCTGTTTTGTTTTACTGTTTTTGTCTTTATGTGGACCGGGCCTGATTAGAGCCAACCTTTTTGTTATACCTCTTGCATTTTTAGTTTCAGCTCAGGCTCCAAACTCTGCCATCACTGCTCAGACTGGTGTTGGGGTAGCATCTACAGTCCACCTTAACCCCATGCAGCTTATGACTGTGGACGCCTCGCATGCTCGCCATATCCAAGGGATCCAGCCAGCACCCATCAATACACAGGGGATCCAGCCAGCACCCATTGGGACACCAGGCATCCAGCCAGCACCCATTGGCACACAGGGGATCCACTCAGCAACCCCAATCAACACACAAGGGCTTCAGCCAGCACCAATGGGTACGCAGCAGCCCCCGCCTGAAGGAAAGACCTCAGGTAAATTGAACTCTTTCCTTGAACAGCAATATAGAAGGTAAAAGTATGCCTTGGGCTTTTTATTGTTTTGTTTTTTAATTTCCTTTCATTGTTATTGCAAAGGTGATTACAAAAGGGTACATTTAGGTTTAATCCTGGCTCTGGTACTTACTGTCTCTGTGGTCTCAGGTAGTTTCTCTAAGACTTAGTTTCTTTTCCATAACATTGCTTAGAACTTACCTTTTTAAGGTCACCGTATACATTAGAAATAAATGCAAATAGTGCAGAAATAATTGTATATACACTTAGAGGACTTTTATAAAAATAAGAATAAATTTACTTTAGAAGTAGTGTTCTCATTTAGTTTACCATTTTCTTCAAGAGTGGAAAGGTGTAGGAAAGCTTTTTGGGGGGAGTGGGACTGGGGGTGGTACTGGGACTTAAACTCTGAGTCTTATGCCCTTGGCATTTTTTGCTGGTAGCTGGCACCCTATCACTGGAGCCATATCTCCACCCGACAGCTTTTTTCTGGTAATTGGAGTCTTTCCAATTAATATGAGCTAATTAGAGTGTCTGTCTGAGCTGGCTTTGAATGTTGATCCTCATATCTCAACTTCCTGGGTAGTTAGGATTATAAGCTAAACTTTAAGATCTTATGTTAACGTTACCTAACATTGTCAGTGCATACAAAGAAATAATAGTGGAATCATCATTGTGTAAAGTGGAGCAAGCGACTGTTTGTGGAGTATTAATTTAAAGATTGGCAGTACATGGTAACACATGCCTGTAATACTAGCACTTGGGAGATAGATCTTGAATTTTGAACTAGCCTAGCCTATATAAAAATGTTTTCTTACACAAATACCACCTTACTGAGATGACACATCTACAACAGTCCAAATCATAAAAGCTAGAGTGGCGCTTAAAGGGGGCAGAGAGGAGGAGAAGCTGGAAAGGTACTGGTTGACAAGACACAGTGCTTCAGTGAATGATGATGACCGAGTTCTGAAGAACTTTCATACAGCACAGAGCCTATAGTCAATACTATGGTGTATTTTAAAAAATGGTTAAAAGGACTGCTCTCTCTCTTGCATCCTTACATTCTTACTGCAGGGAGGCAGAAGGTAAGTTTTGGAAATGAAAGTATGTTTATTATCTAAATGATGGTGATGGTTTTGATTTGGTGGGTAAGGCAGATGTTCAAACACATCAGATTATATGTGTTGTGTACAGATTGCTTGGTCTAATAATTATAATTCAATAAAGCTGTTAAAATTTTAAATTAAAAAAAATGCTCCCTTACAAAACAAAAAGAGGCTGGGAGCATTGGCTCACACCTATAATCTTAAGGAGGATTTATGGTTCAGAGCTGTCTTGGGTGGAAAGTTTGCAATAACCTATCAGAATCAATTGCTGAGTGTGGTGGTACATATTATCAATCTAGTTTCACATGGATTATAAATAGGAACATTATGGTCTAGGCTAGCCTGGGTCTAAACTCAAGACTAAAGCATAAAGGGCTGGAGGTCTAGTTGAAGTAGTTGAGCACCTGCCTAGTAGTAAGCACAAGACCATGAATTCAAATCTCAGTACCACAGAGGAAGAAGAAGGGAAGAAAACACAGATTTTTTTCTCATCTTGAGTATTGATCTTCAAAAGATTATCTTTTATCAATAAATGATAGTCATGGAAGTACAATTCTCCCACAGTGTCTTCCCCAGAAGGATCATTTACCTACCTCTTTAATACCGCTTCCCAGGAAACTTGTATTAAGTTACCTTGACTCAGATTGCCATTTTTTTAGGTCAAAAATCTGTCAAACACAAAGAGTGAACAAAAGCAGCATTGATACTTACTAGACACTATGTTGAAAATGAACTATACAATTAATAAGTGGGGAAAGGTGGGAAAAACTGGGAAAGAGTGTGGGGAAGGAGTAATACTGTTCAAAAAGAAATGTACTCTTTATCTGACTTATGTAATGGTAAGCCTTCTGTTCATCACCTTTACAATAACAATAAAAAATTTTTTTAATCTGTCAAACATTGGTAATCTCAGATTATGGTCTCATGGTATCACCAGTATTTTGATGCCAACTCTAAGTGTGTGTGTGTGTGTGTATATATATATATATATACACACACACACACACACATACCTATTGATTATCTTCCTAAAGATACACTGGAAGGATAGTACTATTCCTAGGAGCTAAAGACAAGTGTCATAGTTTATAAAAACTGCATTTAAACTTATTTTTTTTAAAGAGTCCTTTGTAGCATGTTATCCAGAAGATCCTATTTTCTCTGTACAGCTTTTCCTTTTATTATGTGATCTTGACTCTCAGTTTTCCCATTTCTAAAATGATGGTGATAGTAAGAATTATGTAAGTGAAAAATATTAAGTGATTTGTTTTTGAAGTACCCTTTGTGCCTATTTATACATTGGTGTTATTGTAGAATGAAAAAAGCAAGACTAGTATGTATCTGCATTAGTAGATCTTGTCATCTCCTCAATTGCACCTTTTAGCCATGTGAACATTGTATTGTAGGTTTTACCTTTGTGTGTGTGTGTGTGTGTGTGTTTGAGGCCCCTCACAAATTCTGAGTATTTGCTTTCCCACTGACCTATATCTCTAGACTCCCTTTAATTCCCTTGAAGTGGGACATATATAATAAATATGTAGTGCTGTCTTTTGGGGTGGTTTGTTTTGGTACTGGGGCTTGGAATCAGGACCTCAACACTCACACTCAGCTCTTTGTTCTCACTGGCTCTCTACCACTTGAGCCATGCTCTAGTCTGACTTTCTGCTAGATTGGTGATGAACTTTCACAGACTTATCTGCCAAGACTAGTTTTGAACCATGAGCCACCTGGCCCCAGATTTATTGATACCTTGTATGAAATTCTAATAACATTTCTTTTTCTCTCCTGTTGTCCTTTCCTGCTCTATTTCTTTCCTCCAGCAGTGGTGTTAGCAGATGGAGCCACAATTGTAGCCAACCCTATCAGCAGCCCATTCAGTGCTGCTCCTGCAGCAACAACTGTGGTACAGACCCACAGCCAGAGCGCCAGCACCAATGCGCCAGCACAGGGTTCTTCCCCCAGACCGAGCATACTCCGAAAGAAACCTGCCACAGATGGGTGAGTACACTAGAAAGTACAGGTTCTAGATAAACCATCTAGGTAAACCGTAATTGCCAGTGCCTGAAGCTACCTAATCATTGATTTCTTGACATTTTAAAATTTTCTCCAGAACAGCTCTTGGGTTATTTATTGGAGCCTAGCTCAGATTCTAGAATATTAACTCTACATTCAGTTTCTAAGTACCTGTTACGTATTGCTCTACAAATTCTCTCTAGTTCTGGAAGTTTAATCCTTGAACCTTTAAAGTAGATTTTAATTAGCTCCTTAGGCTTGTCTGGGATTATGTTATTAATGCTATATTTTTTACTGCACACTCAAAATGAATGTTGCTAAAGCAAAATAGTAAATAGCAGGAAGGGTTTTATGTTACCTTTTAGTTGATGGGTGATAGGACAGAAAGGCACGTACTGACTATTTGCAGTGTAGATGAGCAGTCTTATAGAGAGAGCTCACTTGAGTTGATCTCATCAACATCAGAGGTTAAAGCTCAGCACATATTGCTGAAAGTAGGATCTGTACAGAGCTTGCCTAGAATATAGAGTCTCTACCTTTGCTCATTGTGAACTTGTGAAGATCTTCCATTGTTGTTAGGTTGTTGGTGTTTTTGTTTTGTTTTGTTTTATGTCAGTACTGAGTATTGAACTCAGGGCCTGGGTACCATCTCTTAGGTTTTTCATGCAAGGCTGGCACTCTTACCATTTGAGCAACAGCTCCACTTTCAGCTTTTTGGTGATTATAATAAGAGTGTCACTGACTTTTCCTGCCTAGGCTAGCTTTGAACCATAATCCTCATATCTCAGCCTCCTGAGTAGAATTATAGGTCTTGAATAAGCAACACCCAGTTTTAAAGCATACGTCAGCTCATGGTGAGGTAACTTTTGTTAATAAATACGCAAAGCATAATTTGTGATTTTGTGATTAAAATAGCAGATTGATCAGGCATATCTAAATTTCTCATTTTCAAAATTCTAAAAACTTTTGTATTGAGGCTGGCAATATGGCTTAATAGTATAGTGTGCGCCTATCATGCATAAAGTCTTGGGTTCAATTTCTCAGTACCACATGCACAGAAAAAGCCGAAAGTGGCGCTGTGGTTCAAGTAGTAGAGAGCTAGCCTTGAGCAAAAGAAGCTCAAGGACAGTGGCTAGGCACTGAGTTTAAGCCCCAGGACTAGAGGGAAAAATAATAATAAAAAAAAGTAAAGTAAAAAATTATATAAAGGTTGGGTTTTGTTTTGTTCTTATTTCAGTTGTGGGGGAGTAAAGTCCTTTGTCAGATGTAAGTGTAGATACTCCTGCTTGCTTTAGGTTGCACTTACATGGTATATCATTTTCCATCCTTTCACTATATATTTTCTGTATCTGTCTGTGAGATATATGTCTTACAAATAACAAACAGTTGGATTTTGTTTTTTTTAATCCAGTCAGACAATCTGCATCTTTTTTGTTGTTGTTGGCTGTACTGAATTTGAACTCAAGGTCTTGCACTGCAATTCACACTAAGCCATACCTTCAGCTAATGTTTGTCTTTATTTTGGGTAGTACTGAGGTGTGAGCTCACAGCTTTGTGTTTTCTAAGCCAGTGGTGTACACTGAGCTAGGCTTCAAGCCCTTTTCTATACTGGTTATTTTTTAGAGAGAATCATTTCCTGCCCAGATGCTTGCCTGGACTACCATCTGACCATTTTTTGTTTCCTACTATAGCTAGAGTAACAGGCACATGGCACCACACCTTGCTGTCAGTTAGCTGAACCCTGGCCTGGTCTAGTACTATGATCCTCCCAGTTTAGTCTCCCAAGCAGCTAAGATTGCAGTTGAGAACCACCAACACCTGGCTAAAACTTAGGTTGGTTTTAAAACAGATTACAAGCACACAAGGATAGGGAACATAGAGATCTCAAAAACTGAGGCTGAAGAAAGCATGACAAACCTTCCGTGAGAAAGGTTTGTGTTATGCCTATACTGGAAGAAATTAGGGGCTATCTTTATTTAAGGTGGAGAACTTCACCAGACAGCATTGCTCACACATGGAATCCTAGCTACTCAGGAGGCTGAGATCTGAGGATCCCAGTCGGAAGCTAACCTAGGCAGAAAAGCTTGTGAAACTTTTTTTTTTTTTTTGGGGGGGGGGTCTGGTTGTAGGGCCTGAACTCTGGGCCTGGGCACTGTCCCTCAGCTCTTCAGCTCAAGGCTAGCACTCTACCACTTGAGCCACAGCGCCACTTCCGGCTTTTTTCTTTTTGCTTATGTGGTGCTGAGGAATTGAACCCAGGGCCTCATGCATGCAAGGCAAGCACTCTACCACTGAGCCACCTTCCCAGCCCCAGTTTGTGAAACTTTTATCTCCAGTTAACCAGCAAAAAGACAGAAGTAGAGGTATGAGTAGGGTGCCATCTTCGAGCAAAAAAGACAAGCAAAGAGCCAAGCCCCAACACTAGCACATTAAAAAAATAAATTGGAGAATATTCAAAAGGACCAAAGATAGGAATAACTAGGAGTGAAGGGAGAGGCCCATCTTCGTTTAAGGAGAGTAAGCTAAAACCTAATTATAGTGCCGATTCCCATTGTCTACTTACACTATGGAGTATACTGCCTCTTCTTAATTCCTAGAGGTACAAAATCTACACATGGTTTGCTTAATCAACCACACAGTAGAGCCTACAAGTATCTTTTTTTTTAACCAGAAATGTTTTGAGTGGCCAGCCAAGGCTGAAATGTGCAGATTTTTCAGACTATTTCCTCTTTTAATTAATAGAACTTGGGTAGTTGAACTTTACTCTCTTTAGAGAACTCTCTTTCTGGGAGCCTATGTAATCTAGTGGGAAAGTTCTAGATATATTAAAACTAGGGCTTCCCAAAGAATAGGGGTAGGGGTAGACTGTCCCAGACAGCTTCAGTTGACAAGCCCTTTCTATGTGCATAGGGCTTTCACATAGCTCCAGTCTTTCTACTGCTATGATAAGCATGCCACCAAGGATAGCCGGATATCTGAGGGACTGCTAACACTATAAGATAGAAACCCTGCTAATAAAATAAAAATAAAAATCCTACCTCGAAAACTGCAGAGGCTAGACAAGAAGAATAAAGCTGAAAACTAATGAACAGACAGAAACATCTCAATTATATCTTCAGACAGAGGAAATAATGTTGTCTGTGTAACAGGAATATTGTATATGACAGGATCACTCAGAGAGCATAAAGAGCTTGTCATGGCTGGGAAGGTGGCTCAGTGGTAGAGTGCTTGCCTTGCATGTATGAGTTCCTGGGTTTGATTCCTCAGTACCATATAAGCAGAAAAAGCTGAAAGTGGCGCTGTGTCTCAAGTGGTAGAGCGCTAGCCTTGAGCTGAAGAGCTCAGGGATAGTGCCCAGGCCCAGAGTTCAGGCCCGACGACTGACCAAAAAAAGAAAAAGAGCTTGTCATAGCTAGATAAGGTGTTGCTTCCTTTAATCCACAATTAGGAGGCAGAGAAAAAGAATCACAAGTTCAAGGCCAGTCTGGGCTACAAAGCAAGACTGTCTCAAAAATAAGGGATGGGGCAGGAGGGTTGGCAAGAGAGAGGGAAAAAGGGAGAAGAGGAAGAGGTGAGGAGAGAGAAGATCTTATCCTGAAATATAAGATATAGCAGAAAGTCAAAATTCAGTAGGCTGGATGGAAGAGAAGAAATATGAAGCGGGAGGGAATCAAAAACACAGACAAGAAAATGGAGAAAATAGGCAGGAGATAAGAACTTATTAAATCAAGCCTCCAACAAGTGGAGTTTCAATAAGGGAGATCAGAAAATTTAAGGGGAGTCATTCTGTCAGTCAAAGTGATTGACAGAAAATGACCAAAACCCAAATGCACATGTTTCCTTGTTTAAAGACATTATCAGCAGTCAGCCCCACACCAAGTGTTTGAAATTTCACAGTACTAGAGACAAAAAGAATCCATCCTTTCTCCCACACTTTCTTACTTCCCAAACAGCCTTCTATGCTGTGTATACCTGTTATCACCAGAATTCCTGTGCTTTTACCTCTTTTTGAAAAAAATTACTGTCTTAGAAATGGAATCTCTAGGCTGGGTGTCAGTGGCTCACACCTGGAATCCTAGCTACTCAGGAGGCAGAGATCTGAGGATCACAGTTTAAAGCCAACCCAGGCAGGAAAGTCTCTGAGACTCCAGTAAACTGCTAGAAAACCAGAAGTGGCTCTGTGGCTCAACAGGTAGGGCACTCGCCTTGAGCTGAAGAGCTGAGGAGCAACACCCAGGCCCAGAGTTCAAGCCTCATGACCAACAAAAAGAAAGAAAGGAAGGAAGGGAGGTTTTGGGCATTTACCCAAATGATCACAAACAAGACCATACTAAAGCTACCAGCACAACTATGTTTATTGCACCATTATTTACTATAGCTAAGATGTGGAACCAACCCAGATGCCCCTCAGTAGATGAATGGATAAAGAAAATGTGGTGTATGTATGTGTATATATATAAAATAGAATTCTGTGCCTCCATCAGAAAGAATGACATTACTCCATTTGTTTGGAAAGACTTGGAAAAAGTTATATTAAGTGAAGTAACCAGGCCCAAAGAAACATAGGTCCCATGGTTTCCCTTATTTGCAATAACTAGCATATGTCTGGGACAAGCAGAAAAGGTCAAAAGCTATGTGCATATGAACCGATAAGATAGTGTTAAGCAAAATGAACCCCAAGATAGGGACACAAGTGGGTTTTTTTCTTGCTTGCTATTGTTTCTAAAGTATTTATAATGTACCATGTGATTTTTTTGTTGCTTTGTATGTTCCTCCCCCACAGTATAACCCATTTTCACTGTATTTGTTGTTGGTGCCCTGCATCTTGTATATACACTTTTCTAATTTGGGGAGGGGAAGAGAAAAAACAAAATGCTTAAATAGGGATACAGGTTGACCCATTGTAATAATGAGAGGTACAAGATACTATGTTGAAAAATGAACTTTACAATTTAGGTGGAGGGGGGTAGTTGTGGAAGTGGGAG